AGGTCACAAAATGTAAAAACAGTCGAAAGACATGAACAAAAAAGCTTGACTTTTCACGAATAATGCCTAATATTTATTTAATAAATTTAAATTTAAGTAAATGTCTATTACAGTTATAAATAGTATTATAAAAAATGTTAAGAAAATTTAAATAAGACACTTTTAATTTCAAAATTTTCCGCTATTAATTATTTGCTGTAATAAATTAATTAAAATAGTGAATTAAGATTTCATGGGACAATAGACAAATCCTTACGGTTGACAGTATAGTCGGAACTTTAGGTAATGCAAATTAAAGATTCGGCTATATCAATTATTTTCAACAAGAAGACTAGAAACAGGAGGAATAACTCCAGTGGTGGGGGTAAGAGAGCGTTGAGGCAATGTACGGGCACATTGAAGGTGGCAAGCAGTTTGTGCAGTAGACCAAATTAGGTTTCTGCGCATACTGACATGATTTCTGCTAACTTATGTTTTGTTTACCTGTTTGAAAGAAATCACGTGGAACAGAAATTTGCAATCGTTGGATAATTTTGTTGTGTGCAATGTTAAAAATTGTGATAAATAGAAAATAAATTGTAATGTAAAAATGCCTTCAAGTTGCTGTGTTATGAATTGCTCAAATAAAGGTGATAGTGGTGATAAGCACTTATTTAAATTTCCAAAGGACGAGGTAAGTTATAAATTTGAAACTCATTTAATTTATTATTATAAATAATTTTCTCATTAAAAATAGTAAATGCAAAAGTTTTACGTTTATTTAGTATCTATTGTTATATTTTACAGAAAGTGAGAGATGTTTGGATAAATGCTGTTGGTCATAACCTTAAAAACGGAACATGTGATAACAAAAATCTTTTTATTTGCAACAAGCATTTTGATTTATTATTTTCCCGGTCAGATTTACTTTTAAATAAAATTACAACATGTTATAATGTTTTGTAGCACTTTCATTTTGATTTCTTGCTTAATATTTTTAACCTCACTATCATGATGATACATTCAATATATCGTCTGCTCGGCAAACGCTCGAGAAGCATTCACACATGTATGCGCGGATGTTTCATTTTTTCACTACTGCGCAAACTACCGGAGTCCTTCATTGTCCTCCGAATTTGCTTCACCCCCACCACCGGAGTTATTCCTCCTGTTTCTAGTCTTCTTGATTTTCAATAACAACAATTGAAGGGTGCGATGTAATAAACCGTTAAACGCCAATTTAGTTGAAACATAACAGAATGCTGTATGTATGTTAGTTTAGTATTTTTAATAGTAGGTACGTAATGCATTTCTTTATTACTCATGAAAAAAATAATTGCTTTAAAACTAATGTTTTTTTTCTAACTTTTAGAAATAACATTGAAGTCTGTGATATTACATATAGCCTTGTGTTATATAAACATTTTTAATATGAATATTACGTATATTAAGTGGTCTAAATACAATGTCAAATAGAGGCGCATGATAAAACCCCAAATTTGTTTTTTCGAATTTTTATTTTCTCGAAAATCGTTTTATCTAAAAGGAATTGTCTATAATTTTTTGAATTCGAATCGGCAGATTATATAATAAAAATACTTTCGAATTATTATTTGACAGAATTTTTTAACTTCGAAAGACCATTTTTTATAATTTTCAATTTACCGAATAATCATTTCTCATAATTATTGTTGTAGCGAATTGGTATTTTTCATAATTTTTATTTTTCCAAAAACCTGTTTATACTATTTTTGATTTTACATAATTACATACCATTGTTTATAATTTTTTTTCTTCGAATTACCATTTTGTATAATAAATATTTTTTCGAACAATTATTTGTTCTAAAATGTAATTTGTCAAATTTATATATTTTCTATTTTTAAAAGTTACGATTTGCTATTTTATATAATTTTCATTTCACCGAATTGCCATTTCACATAATTTCTAAATTTTCTAATTATTAATTATTAACCCCTTGCAAATCGGGATATTTCTGACGGATTCTTACTCTACAATTATAATTATGAGAAATGATTATTCGGTAAATTGAAAATTATATTAACAAGATGTAAATTCAGATGTTCATTACATGAACATTTTGCTTCCTCTTTACAATCAGCAAAAAAATTTGCTTCCTCGTAGAGAAAGCATTAACATTAACATAAACATACATTAATAATATAATAATATAAACATTAGAGTACCTATACATTTTGAGTAAAATTTAAAGAATTAATGGAAGTTAAAAAATCAAAAATTCATATTTTAACCGAAATTTCTAAATATCAATGAAAAATAATATATAATTTATAATTATTTACAATTATATCAATTCTTTTTAATGCAAGGAACACAATTATTTTATATTTAAACTTGAATTTAAATATATATAAAATTTTTCAGCTAAAATGTGTATTTTCTATTTTTTAACTTTCATTAATTTATTAAATTTACCTCAAATGTTTACTTTATATATACCAATCGATTCGTTTTCTTGCAAGGAATACAATTATTTCATATATAAAATACAATTTAAAAAATCACAAAATTTTATTGCCAAAATGTGAATTTTTTATTTTTTAACTTTCATTAATTCTTTAAATTTAAATTGAAACTATACTTTATATGGGGCATTCTATGGGAAATTTTCATTGAAAATTTTTTTTGTCCGAAACATTTTTTTGGAAATCTATATAAAAAATAAGGAAATACGTATTTTTTTATTTTTTTATTTGATGAAAATGAAGGAAGTTATGATTTTTTGAAATTTAACGTCAACGAAGAAAGTGTGTTTTTGGAACATTTTTTAATCTATTGTACTAATAAATTAAAAATTATGCTATATATGAAATTTGTTCATTTTTTCTCAATTTTTTCAAATATGTGCTCAAAAATAACGTACCTATAACAGAAACAACAAAAAAGTTGAAATTAAACTTATAAAGTGAGTTTTCTCAAAAGAGACACTTTTAATTTTTAATTTTTTATTTGCATTACAATCTCTGATGACTGAAGAATTTTTTCCCCTATCTGTGAAAGTGGTACTTTTAGTTTTTAAATTACTATTTACAATTTTGAAGATTGACGCAACGATTTTTAGTATGTTTTTATGAAAATTAAAAAAAGCAAATGAATGTTAATGGATAAAGGTTATATTTGTAGAAAAAATGCTTAAATTCTGTGAGCCGTACTAAAAAAATTATAAGTAGTAATTTAAAAACTAAAAGTACCACTTTCACAGATAGGGGAAAAAATTCTTCAGTCATCAGAGATTGTAATGCAAATAAAAAATTAAAAATTAAAAGTGTCTCTTTTGAGAAAACTCACTTTATAAGTTTAATTTCAACTTTTTTGTTGTTTCTGTTATAGGTACGTTATTTTTGAGCACATATTTGAAAAAATTGAGAAAAAATGAACAAATTTCATATATAGCATAATTTTTAATTTATTAGTACAATAGATTAAAAAATGTTCCAAAAACACACTTTCTTCGTTGACGTTAAATTTCAAAAAATCATAACTTCCTTCATTTTCATCAAATAAAAAAATAAAAAAATACGTATTTCCTTATTTTTTATATAGATTTCCAAAAAAATGTTTCGGACAAAAAAAATTTTCAATGAAAATTTCCCATAGAATGCCCCATATAAAGTATAGTTTCAATTTAAATTTAAAGAATTAATGAAAGTTAAAAAATAAAAAATTCACATTTTGGCAATAAAATTTTGTGATTTTTTAAATTGTATTTTATATATGAAATAATTGTATTCCTTGCAAGAAAACGAATCGATTGGTATATATAAAGTAAACATTTGAGGTAAATTTAATAAATTAATGAAAGTTAAAAAATAGAAAATACACATTTTAGCTGAAAAATTTTATATATATTTAAATTCAAGTTTAAATATAAAATAATTGTGTTCCTTGCATTAAAAAGAATTGATATAATTGTAAATAATTATAAATTATATATTATTTTTCATTGATATTTAGAAATTTCGGTTAAAATATGAATTTTTGATTTTTTAACTTCCATTAATTCTTTAAATTTTACTCAAAATGTATAGGTACTCTAATGTTTATATTATTATATTATTAATGTATGTTTATGTTAATGTTAATGCTTTCTCTACGAGGAAGCAAATTTTTTTGCTGATTGTAAAGAGGAAGCAAAATGTTCATGTAATGAACATCTGAATTTACATCTTGTTAATATAATTTTCAATTTACCGAATAATCATTTCTCATAATTATAATTGTAGAGTAAGAATCCGTCAGAAATATCCCGATTTGCAAGGGGTTAATAATTAATAATTAGAAAATTTAGAAATTATGTGAAATGGCAATTCGGTGAAATGAAAATTATATAAAATAGCAAATCGTAACTTTTAAAAATAGAAAATATATAAATTTGACAAATTACATTTTAGAACAAATAATTGTTCGAAAAAATATTTATTATACAAAATGGTAATTCGAAGAAAAAAAATTATAAACAATGGTATGTAATTATGTAAAATCAAAAATAGTATAAACAGGTTTTTGGAAAAATAAAAATTATGAAAAATACCAATTCGCTACAACAATAATTATGAGAAATGATTATTCGGTAAATTGAAAATTATAAAAAATGGTCTTTCGAAGTTAAAAAATTCTGTCAAATAATAATTCGAAAGTATTTTTATTATATAATCTGACGATTCGAATTCAAAAAATTATAGTCAATTCCTTTTAGAAAAAACGATTTTCGAGAAAATAAAAATTCGAAAAAACAAAATTGGGGTTTAATCATGCGCCTCGTCAAATAATAATTATAGTGCGAAACTAACTTAAAATTTTGTTTGTAGCAGACCTATTGTTTTTCGGGACTAGTGTATAATTGACTGAATAACAATTAAAGCTGTATGTAACAGCGAACCCTTTAACCTCTTAACTGCTGATGACGACAATTTTGTGCGTCAAATCTTCGTCATCGCAGTTAAGGGGTTAATTTATTAACTTTAATTTTAAATGCTTACCGAATAATCAGCGACTGAAACATCATTAAATGGACCTTGACACAGACAGATGAATCCTTCAAAAATGCTTTTCGTTCGTAATCTTGATTTTTTTGGACCTTCTTCTAAAGTTAAATTATCAACAACTTCATATTTATCTTCATCTAGCATCTTTTGATTTTTCAAACTATCATTCACCCAATCTATGGTAACTATCCATTTTCCATAAGCAATTCCTTGTAAATATTTTAAAGTTTTTTCTGTAGTATTTCGCTGTCCAATGACTTTAACGATTACATGTGTGACGGTAGAATTAAATGTGCTGATAAAATTTGCATTAACTAATTCAGACAGTTGTCTTACCATTTGAATTTGTGAACTTGACAAACCACTACAAACAAAAGTTAATTTTTCTTTTTTTTGAAAAAAATTTTCTGTGGTTGATTCCTTACATAGAGTGCCACAATTTTGAAATTCAGATGATGTTCCAACATTTAAAGAAGTTGTAAGCATTCGTGAATTATCTCCTAATTTTAAAACTTTTGGTGTACTGTGATAAAGAGGACACGATTTTCTTTTAACTCCTGTTTGGGGAGATGGTTTCTTCTTCTCAAATGTATTTATTTCGAAGTCATGATCTGATAAAGATTTTTGTGAACTTCTTAAATCAACATCATTTGCGTCAAATGTTGAGATTGATTGTTTAATATTATCGGGAAACCGAGATGGTTTCTTCTTCTCAAATGTATTTATTTCGAAGTCATGATCTGATAAAGATTTTTGTGAACTTCTTAAATCAACAGCATTTGCATCAAATGTTGAAATTGATTGTTTAATATTATCGGGAAACAGAGATGCACATTTTTCTTGGCAAGTTTTTACTCCAAAAAGTTGCTTCTCAAAATCCTCAAGCATCATTTGTTCTTCCGAAACATTCATTGATAAATTCGACAGATTCAACAAATCTGCTTTTTCAGAAACATAAGATACATCTTTATCATAAGGCTGTGTTTGTTTTTTTTCTTTTTTATTTTTGTTTGTTTCATTAGTTAAAGAATCATTTTGATTGAATTTATCATTAAAAGTGAAAAGTTGCGAAAGTTCTGCTACGCTTGAATTTTGTATTTTTTTAACAAGAGAAGAAGTTTCTTGCTTCTCGATATTTCTCGCACGATTGCTTGTAATTATTTGTTGGGTGATTAATTCTTGACTAACATTTTGATCTGTTTTGTCTTGTGTAAGAAGCATCAAGTCCGATTTCAATTGCATAGAAGTTTCTTCATTTCTCGTTACAGCATTTACACAAGATTTTCTTCGAATATCTTTAGACTTTTCAATAACGTCTGCAAAGAAATGACTCGCAAGATCCTCCGATTCCGGACTGAGCGAATTAGTCTGAAAAGACTTAATTGTATGAGCAGGTGGTTTTTCAAATGGCTGGTTAAGAGAGCATGGGATAATTGAACTACTGTCTGAGTTTTGTGGGAATTTTTCACTATCATTTTTTTCTTTCATTATTTCAGTCTCTACTGAAATAATATTTTCCGTGAAATGGGGTAAATTTTCTAATTCTTTAAATTGTTCCGTATTAATATCAAGATCAGATTCATCTAAAATTTTTTTATATTTTTCACTTTGATGGAATTTAGATTCTTCTTGAGAATTATTAACTTCATTTCTTGAATTTAGAAATTCTCTTTTTTCTTCAGGTGTATCAATTGAAAGGTGCTTTAACTGTGAATCATTTTGAGGTGGAATTAAGTCTAATTTTTTCAATTCAACGGCATGAGAACTTTGAATGTTATCATTTACTTTTGAAACGTCTAGACTTAAATCTTTTAACTGGGAATCATTTTGAGGAAATACTAATTCCAACGTTTCCATTTCAACAGGGTGAAAATTTTGTATACTATCGTTTACTTTTGAGATGTCTGTACTTAAATTTTCTTTTGTTTTACTAATACCAGAATCAGATAAGTTTGTAACACAAAAATTTGTTTTAAGATCTTTGGAACGCTGAACTAAAATAGGAATTGAATTATCCTTCCCCTTATCTTCATTCTGAATTTTACTTAATTTACTAATATAATAAAAAGGAATTTGTTTTTGCTTTCTAAACATTCTGCCTAGTTTCTTAAATGGTACAAGCTTATGAGTCTCCGGGCATTTTATGATTCCATCCAGTTTACTTCTTGTTGCAATTACGTTTTCAAACTGTTGATCTTGAAAAGAGTGTCTCTCAGAGTCTTTTGCTAAAGTCAAACTCTGCGGCTGTAAAATTTTAGCAGAATTGGATTTTTTATTCCTGCTATTATCATCTTTAGCTGTAAATTTATTAATTTCTTCTGAACAGTTAATTTCACCTATACCATTAAAAGAACTGTTAGAACTATGTTCAGGGACAAAGACATTTTTTGTAAAATTGTTTTCAAAATTAACGTTATGGGAATTATTCATTCCTTCATATTTTTTAGGCTTTATAATTATATGAGAGTTTTTTACATTCGATTTACTAACATTTGTTAACTGACTGTTCCTTGTGTTACATATATCCAAGCACTTCATTTTATTACAACTTTTTGTACCCTGAATTTTTAAAGTCTTCGTTAACATATTTTTATCAGTAGACTCACTGTCGAGAGTGGAAGCTTCATAATCAGCAACTGCAATTTAGAAAAAAGTAATAAATAGTTTTTTAATATTGCAGGCATACAATAATTATACAGGTATATTTTTTAATTTACTTATAATTCGATAACTTAATAAATTATTCTTTTAATCTTCTGTCATTCGTAACAAATTTTGTAATGCAGTTATGATATGTATTTTAACCCTTTAATGTTCCAAGTCTTATTTTAAAGGTAATTTTCTACAGAATAAGAATTACCTGTAAACACTAACTTATTTTTTTTTTTCAAAAATTGATGAACCTGAAACAGAAACCAAAAAAATGCGATTTATTTATACCAAAAACCGTTTTGAAAAATATATTGAACATGATATCACGTAGATATTTTAAGGAAATCACATAAAATAAAATTGTTCGAAATTAAAAAATTATTTTTTTGTTCAAAAAATGACATCAATTTTTTACATTTTTTTGGTTCAACTTTGAAGGCCTGCAATTTTTAAGAAAAAAATTATACGTTGGTGCTTATAATTAATTTTTATTCTGTAGAAAATTATCTTTAAAATAAGCTTTGGAACATTAGAAAGTGTTGATTACTTTAAAAGTAATTCAAATTTACACAAAATCTCTTATGTATTCCCACGAAGCACAATATTTTTCTATAAGCTTCCCTTGAGCATAAACATCAGATTTGTAAACTTCAGGTGAGGCTAAGGTGAGTTGCGAATGTCTGCTATTCAGCAAGATAACACTGTAAACTGATGGTAAGCTAAGCTTAAGGTTGTGGTGATTTTAAAAAAGTAACTTTGCTGTAAAGTTTCAAGTAAGCTTGCCGCCATCTTATGTGAAGCTTACATAAAAATTAATAAATATTAAGGTATTTTTCATGCTCATTACAGGCATTCTTAAAAAAATTATATTTCCTTTTCAAGAATTAGAAAATTTTTTTTATTATATTTTTTGAAAGAAAACATGTCATTTTTTAAATAAAATATTTCTAATTTTAAAAAATTGTTTATTTACACACATTTTTAGGTAATCAACATTTTTTCTCATATCGCTATTACAAATTTGTTTAAAAATGATTCAATTTTTGTTTACTATGGATTATTTTCTGCAAAAACATATTAACGGTATGGAGACAAAAGTTCCAAACTGAAAGTTTCAAGAAAGAAGTTCCAAAATCAAAGAATCCAAAATAAACTTGACCACAATTTGGATTATTGCGGAACGATTCCGGATTTCATAGTAAACAAAGGATTATTTCCGGCCTTGACCAGACTAATCCCTTAATCGATAGCTTCATGCAACCTGACTAACTCGGGATTAGCTTGTACTAATTCTAGTTTCGCATCTTTATACTTAAACCGCATTGCTTTCAAACATAGTCGGACTTATTCCGGATGACCTGAACTTGACCATAATTCGGAGTATTTCGGAATAATTGCGGACTTTGTAGTAAAAAAAACAAATTACTTCCGTACCTGACCAGACAAATCTCTTATTCTATAGTTGCATACAATAGGACTAACTCCGGATTAGGTTGTACTAATTCCGGAATCGCACCTTATACTTAAATCATATAGATTTTAGTTTTAACCGGACTTATTCAGGATAACATAAACTTGATCATAAATCGGATTATTTTGCAAAAATTCCGGATTTAAAAGTAAAAAATCCGATTATTTTTGTACTTGACAGGATTAAAATCGAATTGTTATGGACTGATTTCATATAAGTTTCGGACTACTTTGGACTTATTTCATATTTGTCTTTTTGTCCGCATTAATTTCGGAATATTTCATATCATTTTTGGATTGTTTTCGTACAATCTACATAGATTTAGTCTGTTTCAAAATTTGAATTCGATTGAGTCTGGTTTTATCCGACATTCTGTATGTATTAAATCCGCAATTAGTGCGCAACAATCTAGATTTAGTTAGGTTTTGCTGTTTTTATTATAGTTTCTACTCATGCCACCAGGTGCAATTCTCTCACAGTTGAGATGAGTCTCAAGTTCTATAAGAACTGTTCACTGTCGGCGTAGAAGACATGTAACCTTCTGACCAATTGTCACTACTTTTGTTAATATTTCGGAATGTGGAATTAATCCGAAACAGTCCGGTTTCTATTATCTTGAATTAGTCCGGTTATGTCCGAAATTAGTATTATTTGTGTCACTAGTAAATCGGGTCTAATCCGAAATTTGATCGGACTGACTTCGGATTAGACCTAATTAATTCCGGATTCACTAGTTAATCAAATCGGTAAAATTTCCGATTTAGCAGGACTAATTCAGGATGACAGAAACTTGACAAAAAAACGGATCTTTCAGACTAATTCTAAGTTAGTCTGTAAACAGTCTGGAATTTTTATCAGGGTATTGATTTCAGTTTTAACCGGACTTATTCTGGATGAAAAAAACCTGATCATATGTTGGATTATTTCGGAATTGTTCCGGATTTACTAGTAAAAAATAACAGATTAGTTACAGATTTACCAGACTAATCTCAGATTCACTTGTTGCGTACAATCGGACTAATTCCGGATTAGATCAAACAATATTTGTATTCACCAGGTATTCATAAACAGTATTGTTTTCTGACTTAACCGGAACAATTCCGGGTGACAAAAACCTGACCACAAACCGCATTGTTTTGGACTAATCGCGGATTAGTTCGAAATCAGTCCGATAATTTAACCAGGGATTTGTATAATTTTACCAAAAAATTTCATAAATCAATTTTAACCTCAATGTTCTGGAGGTTAGACATTCATATAATGCAAAATGCTATTAATATTTATTTAATCGATCTGATAACGAACGAGTATGGGGACTTGGGATTAAAGGTCTTGATTTCATAAAAAATAAACACAGCACGATTCCAAAATAACAAAATTACTATATTCTAGAAATAAGATAAAGTTAACATAAAGAAAATGAGTTCGCACTAATTACACACATCGCACCTTTATCGTTTATAATTACGTTCCGATTAGTACCGTCGCTCAGCGTTCTCTGTCTTCATTCCGCAGGCATTACTATAATCGTAATTCATCGGTTTATTTCGTACCTTTCCGAATTTCGCACACATTCCTTCATACTCACACACAAAATTACTTTTCAAATGATCGTTCGTTATCATTCGGCCATCCTTATGAAACATTCGTCCTCGAATGCAGTTTTAATTTTAATAAATACATGTATTCTATTCTGAAAATTTTTCGAACATTATTACAAATTTGAATTTTATTTTTACAAACAAAATTTTGCATTCTCAACTAATTATACTGAAAAATAATTGATTTTTTTTTTCAAATATTCTTTCATTCACTCTTCATCACTTTCATAATTCTCCTCGTCTTCAACATTTGACGGTTTCCACACTTTTAATTGCTGTGCATGTGCAGTAGCAGCGTATCGCCTTCCTAAGGAATTAATTGTAAATCTGCAATACCATATGTATCGCTTGAAAAAACTTTAGTGATAATTAATGGACCACGAAATTTCGGTTGAAGTTTGGTCGATTCTCCCGTTGGAGTTACATAATTTCGCATGCAAACAATTTCCCCGATATGGAATTTTGGTAAAATATTTCGATTTTTGTCGTAGCGCTCTTTATATTTCTTTTGTTCAAGTGAGATGCATTGCAACGCTTTTTCTTGAAGTTTCGCCGGTTCAACATATCTTTCCTCGTCATCGTGTACAGTGAGAATACGCAATGCATCTTCATCATGTCGATTAACAAAACCGTATAACAATTCGAAGGGACTTTTTCCCGTTGTTTTATTAATACAAGAGTTGAGATCTCGCTGCACTTTTTTCAAGTGTTTGTCCCAATCTTTACCTGAATTGCTTTCAATATTCGCTTGTATCGCTGGTACTAACGTACCATTTGTGCGTTCGACTAAACCATTGGCCTGTGGATGCCGTGAGGAGTTTAGCGTGTGATGTATACCATGTTTTTCACAAAATTCCGCGAGAAGATTAGAAGTAAAGCACGTACCGCGGTCTGAAATAATATTAATAGGTGCTCCGAAATCGAGAACAAAATCTTCCAAACTCCTCACCACATTCACGGCTTTGGTATCACGTACAGCATACAACATGACAAATCGTGTTAAAGTATCTGTCAACGCAAGTACATATGTATTTCGTTTCTGAGTCGTGACATACGGTCCCGAGTGATCAATATGAACTCTGGCAAACGGTCTCGAGGCAGGTTTTATGGGATGTAATTCCCCACTTTGAGGACCTGTTTTGTTTTTACTCAAAATACACTGAATGCAATTTTTGACGTGCTGACGTACATATCGTGTCATTCCAGTGAAATAGTAAAATTCGCGCATTTTCGTAACTGTTTGATCGACACCCATATGACTTTGCAAATCGTGAAAACGGATTGTTAAACCTTTACGCAAGGAGTCTGGCACAACAAACAATTTTTTATTTCCTTCAACTTTATACAAAATTGAATTTTTCAACTCGTAATCATTAACTTCAGATTGTTCGTGTTTCGAACGTTCTTTTAGAGGTTTTGATAAAATTTCTCTCTTGCGTTTAAGTTTCTCATCCGTATATTGAAAAACCAAAATTTCTTGATCGCGCGTGACTAAACTAAAAATGCCCGATTTCGATTCAATTTTCTCCGCGTCTCACATTCTTCTACCGGCGCACGACTTAAAGCGTCTACATGAGCCAATTTCGTACCCGGTCGATGTACAATATCAAACGAGTATTCCGACAATTTGTTTGCCCACCGAACTAATTGCTGACTTTTTGTTTTATTCGAATTTAAATAAATCGTCGCATTACAATCTGTAACCACAGTAAAATGTACATTAATTAACCAGATTCGCAATCTCGTAATCGCCCAAACTACTGTCCACAGTTCTAATTTGCTCGAATGATAATTTTTTTCTACTTCGTCAGTCTTGCGACTTATCGCGTAAACCAAGTGCAAAACGCCTTTTTCGTCTTTTTGCATGAGCATCGCTGCTAATCCTCGAGAACTTGCATCCGTATGCAATTCT